ATGTTATATTACATATAATGTATATTACTTAATATATAACTACAACTGTACATATCTATCTATATATATAAATGAGAAATTAACCTATATTTATACCAGTGATTATCTAATTTAAAACCTGTGGGTACACATAAAGAGTGGAGAGATCTTATCAATGAATGATAGATTATATTAATAAATACTTGATTGAATTGAGTAGCATGAAGAACACTGAACCAGAAATTATGAATCTAAAGGCATTAGCCCAGGTTCTGATTATATCTAGCTTTGAGATTGGACAATAGCTTAAGGTTTATGTGTTTGAGTTTCCTTATCTACATAATGAGAAGGGGGTTAGGTTAGATTAGAGATGGCAAATAGGTCTCAACTCAACTGCTAACCTCAATCAATTTGAAGTGATTGCCTGAAGGAGGAAAGATATACATCTGGGACCAACAATATTATGCTGAAGTCAATTGGAAGGTCTTCCATGGTTAGGAGAGTGGAAGTTAGAGTACGTATGCCCAGTACTAGCCGTCCCAGCAGTGGGACAATCACTTAAGTCCCAATTCTACCATTCAATAGTTCTGTACTAGATAAGAGAGTACTTCAAATTGTTGGTTTTCTTCTTCTTTGGTTGCCTTCAATTGTTCTAGTTCTTTAAGGTACAGTATCTTACAGTTGAATGTGACTTCAATAATAATCCTAATATTTGATGATTTTAGAAAAGGCAGACTTTTACAGTCTTTTAAATATTTCTTTGTAGATCTTCCGCCTCCTCCGGTGCCACCGCCTGCTATAAAGTCACCCACTGTTCAATCCAAGGCACAGCTGGAGGTACGACCTGTAATGGTGCCAAAACTCCCTTCTGTAGAAGCAAGAACAGATAGATCATCAGATAGAAAAGGAGGCAGTTACAAGGGGAGAGAAGTATTGGATGGAAGACAAGTTGCTGAAATGCGAACAAATCTAGGTGATCCCAGAGAAGCACAGGAACAGCAAAATGATGGGAAAGGACGAGGAAACAAGGCAGCAAAACGAGACCTTCCACCAGCAAAGACTCATCTCATCCAAGGTACTAATTTACTCAAGCAGCAGATAAACATAGATGAACATATGTTTGCCAAGGCACACAGTTACCCTATAGCACCACAGGAAAAGTGATCAGATTAAGAAGTTTGTTTTCTGAGGGAATAGACAGGCATGTACCCAAATAATTTTAAAACAATTCATTCATTTCAGTGCATTGGGATTTATGATATAGGCAGTGGTGAGCCAGCACAGAATTTTGAGTGAGAAATGACATAATCAGGTTTGTGTTTTAGAAAAATAACTGGCAGTACTGCATAGGGGAGGAAGAGACTGGAATCAGGTTGATGAAGGTATCAGAACATTGCAATAACAATTTAGGTATAAAATATGAAAGCACCTGATAACCTATGTTTACAATCCAATTTAAGTTTAGAGCAAGCAGAGTGCAGAAATGAGCCTACAGTCACTCACTCCCTCCGCTTCCTGGTATG